CCTGGCCCTTGGGCAAGATGAATTATGGAAAAGACACAGTAGTCAAAGTACATATGAGTATTATAATGTGTGCTGTTTATTGTGCAGTATATCACAGCTTGTATTAGGCTCCTTTTTAATATGGTAGTGAATAAATTATATGTTTCTAGAACAGTCATTCCTTTTAGTGCAACATACATTTTCATATATAGACCAAGTACTGGGCCTAATCCTCTGACTCATGTAAATTATCCTATTCAGCTCACTAGAGCTACTTGTGAGAGTAAGGAAAGCAAGGTGTATTCTGTAATCTGGAAAATCCTGTTTCACATGTAATGCAAGACAGTACTTTCTTCACCTCGTATCATAAATACAGTATATTCCCAGAACTAAAAAATCATTTACTATATTTAATTTACTATATTGCATGTTTTGGTTCTAAGATTTGAGATGTGTATTTGTGTGTTGCATGAAGTGTGGGTCTGGGATAACAAGGAATGCTTTGTGTTTCTTCTCCCAGGGTGGGTTTGGGGCAGTGGGGATTGCTTGGTGTTCCCCTGCCCATCCATGAGGCTAGCTGAGCAGAGAAGCACTTTTTCCCCCTACACCAGACCCACAGCATGGGTATGCGGCAGCGGGGAAGTAGGGTTTCCCTGCCCAGCCAACACCCCCAGTGGTAGACATCTGCCACAATGAAGCAGCAGAATCTATTACTTATTTTTATTGCACCACTGATTCTCCTGTCATGTGGCACAACGAAGGGTATCAACATCTATTTGCTCTGCATTTGTGTTGCCATAAAAAAATTTAAGCTGGCACAAATGAGAAACTGGATGATGTCTGTTTGCACCCACAGATGTCGCTACTCGTTGTCACACCACATCAAATGAAAATCAGGGTGGAAGCAGACATTGTCTGAAGTCTCGTTTATGCTGCCTGAAAAATTTAAGGCAGTACAAATGCTGACCAAATAGACATCTGTACTCTTTGTTGTGCCACACAATAGGTAAATCAGTGGCGCAACAAAAGGTAGTAATAGATTCTGCTGCTTCATTGTAGCAGACGTCATTTTTCCTTTAAAAATGCTGGAAACTCAGGACTTGAATGCAGTATTATGGTATCCTCTTCATCTCTTTCCAGGACTGGCATGGAGTGGATGGACAGGGTGCTGTGAATGAGCCCTCTGCCTGCTATGCAGACATGCCCTTTGAAAGACAGATCGTCTCTCACTGTGTGTTTAAACACAATGGAGTCCTGACCTCAACTGAGGCCACTGGATACTTGTGTTATAGAAAGAAGAAATGATACTCAACAAAAAGCTATAATTCTCAACAAAAAAACATGAGGAAAGAAAAGAAGGGTGCTAGTTATTGTGCAGTAGGCAATAATCTGAGTCCCTCACCTAGCCATGTCAGCAGGATTTGCTGAGTCTTAAGCAAAGGCTGTGAAGAGAATAAATTAATAGCTCTGTGGATATTTTCAGTCTCTTGTACTGCTCCATTTCCTTTTCTGTGGGAGAAGCTGATGCTACTTGAGACTGCTTGCTTACCTCTCCTGCTGGGATTCCAACGCTGACATTTTTGACAGCCACAATCCTCTTGTGAGGAAGATGGTATATCTTGGTGAGATTCTGGAGCTGCAGTGTGTCAAAGTCTGCTTTGCCAGACTCAACCCATTCTCTTTCACCCCGGACATCCTCATCTTCATCAGCTGTCTCCAGCGGAAGTGGTGGCTTGCCATGTACTCTGTCAAACAGCAATCTAAGGGAATGGGAGACAAGTGAATTTACCTGCTCAGACAACACATTATTAGGATCTATTTATGCAGGGCATGCAGTGTCTTTTCAGTGAAGTTTTATATCCCATTATATCCTTCAGTACTATTAACTTTAAACTTTCCACTATTTGGTAATCCATATAGGAAGCTTAAAAATAAGTGTTTTCTCTTTGCCAAGCTTTGCTTTTCTGTGCAGCACTTCTGTGTAGTGGCTTTACAATAGGTTTGGCAACAATGTTTAACAATTAAAATTTGGACAACAGCACATGCCCGAAGATAACCCAAGTCAGCTTGGACTCATCAACATCCAAAAGATCTGGATGTCCATCCAGGAGACCTGAAATAGCATCCTCTGAGTCTCCTTTTTAACATTGAATGAGGATATTTGGTTAGGCTTGTTCTTTGAACCCACAAACATAAGCAAGGATTGGAATAATCTATTTCATTTCCTTCTTGTTTTAGGGAATTGTCCCGCACATGAGTAGTATTCCTAAGGGTTGTGGCAGGGATGTGCACCAAAAATTAAGGGTTACCAATATGTTACACATCTATAGGAACTGTCATTGGACATAGCTTACTCCGTGTTTGCAAAGTGTGATGAACATTTACGGGGGTACTTAAAATAACTGAGGATGATGACAGATCCTAAGACTAAATCACCAACTCCTGTTTCAATCTATATATATTCATTGTAGGGACCCAGATATTACTTACTCTAATATATTGTACCAGAGTTTCTGAATCGTTCCATCATTGATCCAGAGCCGAATTGCAAAGAAAATAGTGCCTTGGATAAGCATGCCAAGCAGTTTAGAACTTGTCATATCCAACTCAAAGGTTCTGTCAGGGACATCCACTCCATAGGTTTTTAAGAAGCCAAGCAGTGCATTCATCTGGGACATTTCAATCAGACCATATCCAAAGCAGAATTGTGGAAATATCAGGAAAATACGCCTCAAGGTCTCAGAAAGATCATACAAGGCCTGAAAAAAGAGAAACACTAATGATCATTTTGGTTTTATTCAGTGTAAGACTTAAAAAAGATTGTAGTGCACACATAAATCAACAGTAAAGAGGTCCAGAAACGGTTTGTTTCACTGCTGCAAAGCTGAGAAATGGTAAAAAGTTGTTCAGAGTTAGATATTATTAACCCCACCCTCCCAGCTGCTTTCAAAATCTAATCCTTTGTAACGAACACCCACTGATTATATTTCCTAGTCCTTGGTGCTTATACTACGGTGGGCTTGTATTGCTCGAGCAGCATGCAGCAGCCACAAAACTAACCTGAGGCTATGGCTTGAGACAGTCTTTTTGTAAGGAACCCCCTTGGCAGTGCAACACTTACACAAGGTGGGTAAGTTTGCATGCTGGAGTTCTTCATGAGGGGAGGAATCCTCTTAGCAGTGGATAACCATTGTGAAACCCACGCTATGAAAGCCAGACTTGTGGCTTCATCCCTCTGTTTACTGAGGATGCAGGAAGCCTTCAGGAACCCCAAAGGACCCAAGGGATACTCAAACTCTGCTTATCCCTATAACACATCAATTCTACTTTGGCAAATACCACCACAACCATGGAAGAGGAAACAGTATGTGACCCAGGTGACTGCTTGAGGGTTTTCCAGCTAACTCATAACAAACAAAAAAGCTCAGTTTAGCAGCAAAGAACTATCGCACATTGTCATTATTTTACATTAACAACACAGCCTGCCGAAATGACATGTGGGTATGCAATAAATCAGCATGGAGTGAAAGTAGTGACCTGATCACACAACAATAAGTGCCATATAACCAAGGGTTTGGTAAACAGGCACTCTCTGACATTTGGGGCTGTTCCATTTATTTTTCACCAAAGTTTTGATCTTTATCAACTCCCCACCCTGCAGAACAAAAGCAAAAACAAACCCAAAGAAAAGATGATTCCTAAAGGTCCTCAGGAAGCAGTTCTACTCCAGAGCAGTGCTTAACTTAAGGAAATATCGGTGTCTCCCTATCACTTTTTCCTTTATATGAAAATAAGGTCATTGTATAAAGTACTTGTGTCCCATTCGGATGATAGTTAATTAGTGTTCTGGTTAATGCAGCATGGTTTAAACCTTGAAGCATTGAAGTCTAGTAGGTCGTCTCAGTGATTTGTATTGGGGAAACTTAAGATAGCTATACAGTGCCTCAGCTCCCCATCCAACCATGAAATACATGAATTAGCTCTCTGCCTTATTTCCCGTACACAACTGATTTTCACCTGCCCTTCTCCCACATGTCCTCTCTTCCCTGTCTGCCTCTCTACTCTGTGTTCCTAACCACAGAGAGAGGATTACATGAAAAAGTAAAGATCCAACTTGCCTCATGTCCTGATCACAAGAAGATCTCACCAAATCATCTGAGTAGCGGTCCATCCAAAATCAGAGTTGCTGGCCCCAGCCTCTCCTACCCCACCTGGGGCCACGTGCCATGTGCCAGACTGTGCATGGCGTGGGCATTCCCCAGGGACAAGTAGCAGTGGCACACATTGTGTTGCTGATGTTTGTCTCCATGGAAACACAAGTTCCCGCTGATGGGGACATGCCCATATTGATTTCACTAACTTTTGGTTCAGGCTTTAAGGCACTTTTACTGGGAAACCAATCAGTTTTTTAAGAGTTAATGAGAGCATAAAGTGGGACTATTACCTTATCAGAACCATTTTCTTGGGAAAGCAGAAACACAATTGAATGTGTAATAATGGTATTGGTGCCGAAGAATAAGTTGATACAAACATAAACGATGAAAGCCATTCCTATATCCTTGAAGAGCCCAGCCAGCAAGTACATCCATGAAAATGTTGCATACCTAGACATTGCCAATGACACAGAGAATATTAAAGGAATTCAAGGTATTTGGTGAAACTGATAACAAACACACATAGGAGCATTTGACTTGGGAACTATACACAGTTTGCTAAAATTGCTTGGGACATGATTTGATTTCTGTGTCTTAGAAGTTTGAGAAAGAAAAAAATGAAGCATTTCTGATGGAATTTAGGGAAACTTTTGATGACAGGTACTCATGGAAGTGAAACTGTGCAACAGACTTAGCTGTGGACCAGGTCTCGAAGACTTCGTAGTACTGACCCACTTCAAATTAAAGGAAAAAAACATAAGAAAAGTTCATACCCCTCTGCTGCTGTTACACTCCTACATCCATCTGCTAAATCCTAACTATGATAAAGAAATATTATGTGAAATCAGGAGCTGGATTAGAAAGAGCTGGTTGAAGACATTTTTTTTTGTCCTTAGCAGCAGCAGTAGTACTATCATCAACATCATCACATTTAAACAATTCAACCATATTGATTAAAAAAGTAAGATACACTTTTTGCAAAAAGATGTCACTATATTCTGAAATCTAAATAACTCCAATCAGCACTAGTTATAGTTCCAGCTGTCTCTGACCTTGAAAATTTGGTTTAACATATCTGCTTCAGCTTGTCCCTGTAAAAAATAAGGATAAGCATGCAAACCTCAATTTACCACTGTTTTAAGGACTAAATAGTCAGGCTGTCCCCTGGGACTTCCTGAAGACAAAATGAAAACTCTTACTGCTCTGCTTTGGATGCCAAATCATAGGAGGCTGTAATAAGCAATTTCTCATTTTGCAAAGTCGTATTCAAATAACTATGTTACACGCTTACCCGAACATCCATAGAAGGAGAAATACAGCCAACAAATTATTATTGTTGTAGAAGGCAGGTATCTGGAAAACTGAAATAACTCCTGTTGAAAGTGCAGCAGGGACTGTAAAAAGAGCCTGTGAAGTGATATTAAAAGAGGGTATTATTGTCATAATTATAATATAAATACAACAATAATAATAATTAGAATACATTTATAGGGCTGCAAGGAAGAACCAAGACAAGCCCTGAAATGGAGAAATATGGAAATTTGCATGAGTTTTCAAAGAGGCGTAGGCAGGTAGGACTGCCAGCTACTTATGAAGTTCAATGAGATTTGAAAATTAGTTCCCTTAACCCTTTGTGAACATGCCTTGAACATGATGGAGTGTGATCAGAAAATGCCGTAAAAAATGTGATTGAAAAATGCTTGTTGCCTTTTCTGTTAGAATCATGATCAGGCCTTTTCAGTTTGCCCTGTAAAGGCTTGTGATTTATCATATAGTCTACTGGGCTAAGCCCCACCAGAGTCAACAACATTTCAAACCATGGTGACCCTATAGCTCACCATGGTTAGAGCATTACCCTGCTCACTATGCCTGTGTACTCCATATGCCCCCCTCCATATGCCCAGTTAAGGTGGTACCCATGTGGTAATAAGCCACCCACTCATTACTAGAACCAGATGTTCTCGATCCTCCAAAAAATGATATGCAGATGAGGCACAGGGCGACCTGGTCTGGCTCCACCTCATGGAGGGTGAAGCCATATTAATCATATGCACCAGGATGAGATGGGGTGACCAAGGGGTTCTGGATGAATGGTCTGGGGCCTCATTTGGTGATGTTTGCCACACATTTATGGCTGATGAAGAAATGGAAAGTATTGGAAATGGGAAAGAAAGGCACAGCTCAGCTGTGGGAATTAGGAAGTCAAAATGTATTCAATGTAGTGGCTCACCAGGACTTGAAAAGAAGTCTGTACTCGGAGTGGGGGGAGGGGGGCTGTGCTTAATGAGTGCTATGATACATCTTATTCAGATGGGCTGCACTAACCTGTCCTTGTGGTAGATTCCCATAGGTATGTTTACCCAATATGGACCACATCTTCAAATATATGGGGGAAAAAACCTTAACAGGAAACAGGGATCAAATTCTTCTGACACAAGAACAACTAGGAAGTAGGAGGGATCTCTGTACTGGGTGAAAAGTTTCTCTTTCATTGCATTCCTTTGAACTCATGAAGATATTCCTAACATTACAAACCATTAGGATTTTCTCATGAATCTTTTGATGCTTCATGCACTTCTTTTAACACTCCTGTTGCTGGATTCAGGTGAGAATCTCAGCTTGTTGCCTACATATTAAAGATTAAATCAAGTTTTAGCCTTTGTTATGTTGCTCTCATATAAATGTACTGAGTTGAGTGCACATACAAAAGATGGAAGAAATTCCATTGCCTAGCAATATCCAGTGTTGCAGTTCATGTTTAATAGTCTGCAATTCCTTTGAGAACAATTACTACATAACTCTTGCAGTAATAATATTAATAAGTCTATGTAACAAACATTAAATACAGAACTGGGGATTTTTTCAGCACAGAATGCATATAAAAATATAAATTATTTACCAGATCATAAATGAAGTTAGTCACCCAATAGCTTGTCACACCAATGCCTGAAATATGCTGCAGTTGCTTAGCTTTGGTTTGATGCTCTTTTACCACATATAGCACAAAGCTGGCTGTTGTGATTGAGTAGCCAATCAGAAGCAACATTGAAATGATGATATCAAGTAAGCTGCTGAGCCTGAGGAGGAAAGGAGAAGACAGACATACAATAAGTAAAAAAATGTGGTCCCCCTTATCTCACTGACATTATTCATGCTTCAAAGGAATAATGGCCTGATCCTCTGAATACTTCCAGATATAGTGTCTGCTCAGGCTAGTAAGCTATTAAGCATTATGCCTACTGGAAAAGATTTGTAGGACTGGACTCTTACACTGTGACACAGGAGTGTTTGGAAAGGCATAAAGGAAATATATTATTCTCTTTGGTATAGCAATGCCCCAAGATTGCTGCTATGTCTAAAATACCCCCAAATTTATAAAGGCACTTGAAAAGCAGTCCTGGGGGAAAGCATGAGCTCTGTAGCAAGGAGGACACTGCTTTTTATGAAAACAGGAATTTGATCTTCTGAAGTTACTTAACACTTCAGCTATTTCATGATGTCCAGGTAGATGCTTTGCTTTTGTAACTAAATGACTCAGAGTGGTAGGTATCAGTCAAATTAATCTTCTTACATTACTTGTTCTGGATCCTGTCCTCCAGGATATGGATGACTTGATAGAATAATACCTATGAAGAGAAGAAAAATAATTTAAAATGTGTGTGACCAACTCCTTCATTGGTGTGTAGGCTGGAAGTTGTGCAGGATGTGGTGGTTGAAGGAGAAGGAGAGGAAGTCAGGGACATGGGGTCCTGCCCCTCACTCTGCCACTCATTTATGATGTGCTTCTGATTATAAGTGGCTGCTAACAGGCCAAGTGCCTCAGACAGGGCCCACATTCAGGAATGTTGAATACCTACATTTCTGGCTACAGACAGCAGGAACTGTTGATGCTCAGCAAAACCGAAAATCAGCTCCTGAGGCCTAGATTCAGCATGTGCTTAACTTTAAATGCGATTCACTCTACAGCATTCAATAAGGCTACATGTAAGCCTAAAGTGTTTATACTTGGGTGCCCCAAAACTGAAGCTTTTGGAATCAGAGACCACATCTGAAAATTCTGGCTCTAGCTTCTGTGTTCCTCAGTTTCCCCATCTGTAAAAGGACGTCTTTATCAACTCATTCCTTGGAAAGGCACCATAGCCAGTAGGTAGGTAGTTATTTTGCAAGTTATTTTGCTAGTTATTTTGTCCATGCTCAGTGGCCCACTACAGGTCTAAAATATTTAGCTGAAAGTTGCTAGAAAATTACAAAATCATTGCACCACTTAGTAGCAACTGAGAGTGCTTTTAAAAAGCCAAGAATTGGGCCCATAATCCTTTTTAGCTTCAAAACTTTTATAACCATTAGCTAAAGTGTCACTACACTCAAGTGAGAGGTGTACTGAACAAGAAGAAAGCATTATCCTCATTTCCAAGCAAGACAGAAAGACTGAGGGTGTGTACAGACATTCACTGTACCCAATCTACACATAAAGCAGCTCAGTTCAAGCTACATGAATGTAAACCAGAAATGGCACGTGCTGGGAACCATTCACAGACACCTGTATAAGTAACTTGACATGGGGGAGGGGGGGAGGAGTGGGATGGGGGGGCAATTGGTGGGTCTGCAGGGGGCACAAGTGGGGCAGTTGGTGGGTCTGGGTGAGATTGGCAGGATCACAGGGGCTGGCAGATCTACTGTGGGGGGGCTTGGTGGGTCTCCGAGAGGTAGTAGGGGGCTAAAAATAGCCCAATTAGGGTTGAGGTGAGACTAGTGCAGCCCCAGGGTGGGGTGAGCAGCTGATCTTTTCAAGCCCTTGGGCTCTGCTGCAAGTTTGTGAGAATGGGTTAACCCAAGCTCGATCTAAATTAGTTTCCTACTCAGGTACACTAATTTAGATTGGGCACTCCATTTTTGGGTGATTTAAGCCCTCTGTATTCCCATATGATTGGGCAGTTAGATAGACTAGTGTCAGCACTTTAACTAATGTGTCAGCAGTCAGAATGGCCCTTGCCCTATAATTACCAAGTACTATGCTGTGTCATGTTTCCATTATAAACTTTTGCCCACATGAATCATCTGCACCATATCTGACCAGTGTTGTCTTGGATAACCAATTGCAAATTAATCTTTCACGTTCTCTGTTGGGAATCCAACCTTTCAGTAGAAACCAGACTAAGCTTCCTGTAATAATCTTCACAGTTTTGAAGGCAATTGGCCTATTTCCTGATGAGAAAATTACTACTGAGTTCAGCCATGCCAGACTAAAGCATCAGATCTTGGAAGCTAAGTAATCCTGAACGTGGCTAGTACTTGTATGGGAAACACTTTGGAATCTCAGGTGTTGTGGCTACATGCAAAGGAGTTGTGGTCAAAGAGCTGGTGAATACTAGACCATCAGAGCTGAATCAGTGCAAGATTTTATTTGATGAATAGTCATTTTGTTGCTACTGAATTGATGGATGGGAACAAAAGAAGAGAAGTTAATTCAAAGCTGTATCATGAAGCTAGAAAGAAATGCAGAACCAACCTATCTAAAATTTAGCCCTGCACAGATATTGGACTGATGTTGGGTATTAGGCAGATGTTGGGTATTGATCCAATGCAAAATGTGGGTCTCTCCTAACTAGATCTATTAAAACAGGTGTGTGACAATCAAATGACAGAAAGAAGTTCTCTGACCATTATACAGAGATTGTCCAAATGTCTGACCTCAATAATTTCATTATAAAGTATAGCATCCTGCTGTAAGTATGTTACTATCACATCAAGAACTTTTGCTTTGTTTACAAGCATATATTGATCCACTGCACTGAGATAAAAGGTATAAGGCAAATCACAAATGGATTAAAACCCCCAACCTTACCAAAGCCAGTCTAATCCAGGAAGCTAAAGATCTAATTTCACATATTCAAAGGAAATGGACACATTGACAAGTAGGAGGTTAGGGTGTTAACTGGAAGTACATCAAGTACACCACAGTAATGCATGGTAGCTTTGTTCTCCCGTATTTATCACGGGATAAGAGCATGCACATGGGCAGCTACCACATAACAGGAGATGCACTGTAAATTCACTCCCTAGTTTGCCTCATTGTAGCCTGCTTGTATACCCAGTGCAGACTAAGGAACTCTTTATTTAAATCAAGGATGTCAAACATCCGGCCAAATATGGCCTGAAGAGCCAGACCATGTAGCTTTCAGACTTTTGCCAAGGCTCTGGTCACAGTGGTGAGGCTTCCCGAGGTAATAGCACATTGGACAGAATCCTCTCTACTGCAGTTGGAGCAGTTAGGTCCACTGAAAAGTGAGAAACAGGGAATGTAGCCCTCCAAATAATTTGAGTTTGACACCCCTAGTATAAATTTATTATAAATATGTATTCTCCATAATTAATCTGTGAGAATGGCAAATTGTTAATAGCCTGTTTGGAAAGCATGCAATCTACAATTTCTTTGGAATATATAGGGGGCGGGGGAAGTATTTCTCATGAAATTAGCCAGCAGGTGGAGACTTGTGGAAAAAACAGAAATGCCGACGATGCAAATGAAAAATTAATCAAACGCTTGTTTTTATGTTACAGAGCATATTTGAACTGTATGGGCAACTAGATGTACAACAAGATAACCTGGGAAAAACTATTAGGCTAGTTACACGCATTCAAAAACCCTGAGGCAGAATCATTCTAAGTTAGTGATTTTCTGTAAGCAGTGTTTAGATTGATAGTGAACAGAACATACATTTGTCCTCTTGTTGGAGGGGAAAGGACGGGGGGCAAATCTCAAACCAGGTTCTACCATTTTTAAACCAGTCTCTGTGTGTCCAACTTGTTTTCTGTTACAGGTATAGATTGGTTTCTGATCACTTATACTGGTTTATTTGTAATGTCTGTAGCTGGCCATAGTATGCTTTATCCTACACATTTCAGAGGGACTAGAGGTGGGAAAATGGATGTGTACATTTGCATGATCCAGGGACTTTCTCCAGGGACAAATGTGACATCTGTTCATACTTTAGTCAACCCTTTTCATTCCTCCCATTTTTTGTCCTATAGACTTTTGCAGTGTTATACAATAAAAAAAGGAACTTCACTCAGTTTCAAACCCTAGTAATGTGCTATGGAAGCTAGAGCAAGCTTCCATAACTTTTGGACCTGACAGAGGTCAAGCTAATATTTTCAAATAAAGGGGCCTAAAATTAGACACTTAAATCCATATTTTGTCACCTAAATAAGTGCCCCCATTCTCTGCAGATGGATACTGAGAACCCAGAGTTGCTGTTAAATTCTAAAGAAACTAATAGTACTCAACACCTTTGAAAATCAGGCTATTTTCAGCTGGGTGCCTATAGATCAGCATAGGTCTTTGTATTTGGGGCTCTTCTCATGAGGAAATTGCTGAATAGTTATACCCAGGTGTTATCCCCTATGGACAGGGGAGGATGACCCTAGCCTTAGTTTTAGATAATGATGTGCTATAGTCAGCACATATCACCGAAACAGATAAAACAGTGAGATTTTACTTGCAGCTCATTTTAAAGAAAATAAAACAATTGTCACTAAAGAAGAATGATTCTTTTTTGGCAGGATGAAATACAAATCTCAGGCTGCTAATAAAGACATACAAACAATGAGAAAATGTTTTGTGCTGTAAAAAATAAAAAAAAGATATACAGTCTGGCTAATCTGTTAATACTTCACTATAAAGCCATTTTTCCTCTACTGCAGCTTAGGTTAGAAGTCAAAATTTCCATTTCAATACTTTTTTGTGAGGCTGGAAAAAAGGAAGTACAATATACATAAGTCGAATGCTATTATGATTTGCTTAGTGACAGGGTAAAAAGCACTTTTATGTATTTTTTAAAATGTACTCAGTCTAAGTCAAACCTCAAAAGCAGGACTGGCACCTCTTTCAAACTGCTGAAATGACAATGCACTTTTATCTGGCCATTTCAATGATTCTTAAACTGTCATTTATTTGTCACAGCAACAAATAGCTTTAGCTTTTAAGAAGATACCACACAGAATTTGCTCCTCAATTATATTTCAGACTAGGCTTATGCTACCCCTGCTGAGTTTTCCTCATAAATTCATTTGATTTTTCCCACTCTTTATATGGGTTTATTAGTGGGATGTGGGAATTATCAGTCTTGTCATTTACTAGTATTCATTTGTTTCGCCCATGGCACCCACAACCCATATGGGTATAGATGCAGTAAAAGCATAGATTCATAGATGTTAGGGACTGAAAGGAACCTCGTGAGATTATCGGGTCCAGCCCCCCTGCAGTTGGGCAGGAAAGACTGCTGTGGTCAGATGACCCCAGCAAGGTGTGCATCAAGTTATTTTTAAGTGATCTCCAGAGTAGGTGATTGTACAACTTCTGGGGGAAGTCTATTCTAGACCCTAGGCACTTAAATGGCAAAGAAGTTTTTCCTTATGTCCAATCTGAAGTGATCTTCAAGCAGTTTGTGTCCATTGTTTCTCATCTTCCTTGGGGTACCTTGGTGAACAGATGCTCCCCCAGGCCCTGATATACACCCCTTATATACTGATAGGCTGTCACTAAGTCTCCTCTAAGTCTTCTCTTCTCCAGGCTGAACAGTCCCATGTCTTTCAGCCTCTCCTCATATGACCTGCTCTCCAGACCTCTAATCATGCATGTGGCCCTCCTTTGGACTCTCTCAAGCTTCTCCACATCCTTTCTGAAGAGCAGCACCCAGAACTGGACACAGTACTCCAGTGGCGGTCTCACCAAGGCTGAATAGACAGGAAGGATGACATCCTTAGTCTTTTTTGAGATGCATCGGTAGATGCATGCCAGTGTTTTATTCACTCTGCCAGCTATGGCATCACATTGGTGGCTCATGTTCATTCTGTGGTCTATCATGACCCCCAGGTCCTTTTTCAGGTCAAAAGTAAGTGGTCAAATATTTTCCAGTACAATGTATTTAATTCTAGTCAGTGAAAGAGAACTAAGGTACCACAATTTAGCTTTCATCTCCAGCAGGGTAAGAGTGTGCACATGGGCAGATTGAGGATTTTGAAAAGGGGAGTGCAGATGCTGAGGTGTAGCATCACATATGAACACAACACATACTTTTCTCCATTTAAAGAGAAACTAGACACTTTACTAATATGCTAAGGGCCTAGCACTACATTATTCAGCTGTAGATTAAAGCAAAAACAAATATAAATGTATTGGAATGTGCACTAAATTGCTAGATTATATCTTAAGTTTAAAAAACACAACAAACTAGGCAAAAAGTCGAATTTCATCATAAGATACTGTGTCATAAGTCCTGTAGTAATAACAATTAAATGTACACCCCTTATTCTGATTCATAAAACAAAATCTACTCTTTTCCAACATCTTGACAGTGCCTCCAATATTTCACTGTCAGTCATTTCTACACCTGAGTTCATATTACCACACCTGAGTTAAGACTCTTAGCTGGAGCTGAAAACAATCTGCAAGAATGTAATATAGATGAGAGACATTAAATATGAGAGACATGACATGAGAGAAAATTTGCAGAAGGAGGAATAGTTTGAATAGTGGAACATCAAGACCATTAAAAGGAGAGGCACTGGTGGAGTGGAGAGAGATTAGCAGGAATCAGACAGATTACAATTAGCAATGAAGTCATTTGACTCCTTCAGTCAGTGTTGCCTGATTTGAAATGCCACTGCCCTTCCCAGGAAGTTGATTTTAAAGTTTGGGTGAAGCAGGAATCAAAGGAGTGTGCAACTACATCACTGAACTCCCTTATCCCAGACCTGTCCCTGGGTGTCCACAAAGCAGTTATCATGGACCCTTTTAACATACAATAAATTGTTCTGATGTCCATACCCTCATACTCCTCATAATATTATGATTGTAAGTCTTTCCTGCAGATCTGCTTGTCTGTATTTTACAAGTAATAAAGATAAGTGAAAAACAGCATACTGTGGTTCAAAAGATTAATTTGAGATGTTGCACAATGGCAAAACAATTAAGATGTAACTGCAAATAAGTGATAACCCCATTTGCTTTACCACATCACTACTAGATTCTAGATAGTTCACATGCTGCCAAAAATATAATATTTTAGAGGTGGTTTAAGTTTTGGGGTTTTTTTAATTCTTTCACATGCACACCTGTCAAATATTTCATTACCATAATCCAACTGTTGACAGCTCAGAGAAGAAAATCATTAAAACTAAGTAATTTAAAACACCACTGACAGTAAACTAAAGTAGCTTTTGTACAGAAAAATGTCATGTATTTAAAGCCATCTATCTCCATACCATTGTGAAAGTCAAACACCAGGCCAAAGCCTTCACTGTTTGTGGGAGAAGAAAAGTGGCTTAAGGGATTACTTGGGTCCCTGTCCACTGATCGTAGATATAGACTTTTGATATATGTAATATATAGACTTCAAAGGAAATGTCAGTGAATCACTATTATCAGGAATCAAAACATGACCTCATTAAAGAAGTCAATGAAAAATTTGCTACTGTCTTCAATGAACCAATATCCCCGCTATGGGCACATCCGCACGAGTGCGCATGTGTGGTTTGCAGCACTACAGACCCATCTGAGGTGCTGTAAAGTGCATGTGCCACACATGCATGCATTCTCCACACTGCTAATTTTCAGTTGCGGGGGGAAGGGGGTTGACACCAAGAGATCCCAGCGTCAAAAAAAACAGATGCCAGAAAAAAGCGGGCTGGTGCACGTGGAGGCAACATGCACTGCCAAAAACTGGAGCCTGGCCTGCCAGAGCCATGCTTCAGGTGCCAACCAGACTCCGCACACCTGGATCTCTGCTGCTGGAGCCCTGAGAAGTCCCCAGACTCCAGATAAGGCTGCTGGGGACACTCCAGGTGCTGGCCCCAGCCTTTTCTACCCCACCTAGGGTAACTTGCTGTGCACCAAATATGTGCCACAGCTAG